GAATAAAAAAAAGTTTCTCTATGGCCTCCTCGTTTTGAGACATTATGGCTTTGGGGTCGACCCCGGTAACAAAGAAGGAATCCATAAAAACTTAGGATCCGACACCATGATAAAATACTACCCTCATGATTAGACCATGTCCCTGAGATTTGATAAAAGAAAGGTGAATTAGCGGTTAATACGTTGTAATTGGATAAGTTATTAGGAATATGACGGAACGAAAGACCAAGGAAAGAAATAAGAATACAAAAAAATGCAGGTGCTGCACCAAACACTGGTGGTTGTTTCTTGTTGTAAGTGAATGCAACGAAAAGACCCGGAAAAAACGAATAATGAAAAAATTCATATATTGACATTTCATGCTCATTTCCAAATTGATGCTTTTTTATTCCCATCATCCGGTAACCACAGGATGATCCACAAGAAAGGTGGCAGGATTCGAACCTGCGAATTGGTCGAGGTACGAAGTCACTAGAGAATTCGTTGAACTCATTCGACCTACGAGAGAGGTACGACCATTCGTTGAACTATGTTCAACTCATTGAGTCGCTAGAGAATTCGTTGAACATAGTTCAACGAATTCTCTAACGACTCAATGAGTTTCACTATTCGTTTTAAATGAGTGTAACATAGTGTTGAACTATGTTCAACGAATCTCTGTTCTCTGTTCTTTGTCAACGAATCGTTACACTCATTCAGTTCAATAAGTCTAAGAGTCTATAAGCTTCTCAAACCTACGTATCTTTACGTTCAAGTTTATTCCACTCGTTCGGCACGTCCTAGGGACCCCCTCTTACTATATAAAACTATATACTATATAAAATATTTTTGGGGATTTCGGTTTCTAATGACCGCCGTATCTATCTCCGCTGACGAAGAATAGGTACCCACACCCCAGCCAGAGTTAGTGAGCCGTGTAATAGGCGACCATTTCGCGCGGTTCGGGGGGCACTTGACTCAGCCGCCGGCGCCCGACAGCGTCTTGACCCCCATCCAATTTTTGGGCCAATTCCCCCTTCGTACTACCAAAAAATGAGATTCTTGCCGAATCCGAGTTTGCTGCTCCAACCATTACTAAACTAATACCAATTCCGTTTTGTACTTCAGGTGCTTCTGTTGCGTATAATGTCAATCCCGTAGCGGATAAATTCCAACGAGCCTTTCAAACTAGTACTTTTTGTAATAGACTCTATAGCTTCTTCAATAAACGCTGGTTTTTCGATCAAGTTTTGGCCACTATATCGATGAATAATCTCTCCAAAATATGCTCTTTGATCAGTGATTCACCGGCTACTAGATCCAGGGATCCCACCTTATTCTCAAACCTGGTGGCTTGGTTGATTGGGACTCCTGTAGGCTCATCTTGCATACAAATTCTGGGGGGTCCCAAGTCCTGCATCCACCAATAACCTGTCTTCCCTTAAGCGTAAAACTTCAGATTTGAAGGCGTTTCCACTACATAAGAAAAAACTTGAATTAGATCTTGGAAATGCTCGACTAAAATAGATGCTCATCATAAGCTTTTTTTTCCTCCTCTTCCTATTGATCAGAAGCATCCAGCAGCGCCAAAAGAGTGTTGCTACTAAATGAGTTTTCTAACTACGTTCAACTCATTCACTCACTGAGATACGTATAGTCGATATCTAAGTTTGAGTTACACCACTCGTTTATATACTCTTATGCGCGTGGTGATTGAGTTACACCATTCAATTTTATTTTATTTTTATTTATTTAATTTTGTTTTAGTTTCTTGCCTTTTTGTGTGGTGATGGAAGGAGTGGGGGACAAATGGGGTACACCTTTTGTGTACCCCTGTCATTTTTCAAGAATCTTTTCTACGGAGTATATAAATTGCTTCAATGCGGCGGACCGATCTACACGTGTATCGTTGCAGTATCCATCTGAGCAATAAAAATTGCATATTCCGTATATCCATGGAGGGAGAGAGAGAGAGAAAGAGATTTGGGAGGGGAGAGAGAATGATGTAGTGAAGGAATAGCGTGGGGTTTGATTGGGGGGCTCATAAACCTTTGCGTCTGCAACTGCGTTCTCCCTCCCATTAAGAGATGACGGATCTCCGGAAATCCTGCAATAGAAACGGCGATTGTAGCAGTAATTGTAGTGCCATCTTCCCCTTCCGCCCTCCTCCAATTTCTCTTATCATCAGCAGTAGAAACTGTGTCTCCGATTTTACTAGTAGCTTCGATTCATACCCAGCTTCCTTCTCCCCCCTTTCTTGCTGTTTCTGCTCCATGGCTTCATTCTCTCCCTCCATTTACTCTCTTCTCACCAATTCTTCGTACTCTTCATCGGTGTCTTGAGCAAAAGAGGACACCCAGCAGTTATTTTTACTTATAGTCTAATTCCATCGCCTTTTTCTTTATTTCTAGAAAGGTTGAATGTTTTAGGCATTTTTTAGTGCACGAAAGATGTTTGCTTCATTGCCTGGGTTGACTCATCGCCCCATTTTCATGGCTTCTCTGGGAAACTTCAGCAGGTATCTTTCTGTTTTTTTTTGGATTTTACTTTCAAGAATTACATGGGTTTTGAATGAATTGCATTTTAGATGAGGGGTTGGTGTTGTTTGGTGGGTTATTATTATTATTTTTCCCCTTCAACGATGTAAGAAAAGTGTGGGTTTATTATTACCAATATCCCATTTGTTCCTTACGATCACCAGGTACGATTGCGATGGTCATCTTGGATGTTGGATTGGGAATGAAAATCAGAAGAAGTTGAACAATAAAGGAGCCGTGAAGGCACCCAAGAACGGGAGGTCGGGTGTTTCCCCTCGCGCTGCTGCTTCTGGTCTCACTCAAACTCCAAATTCATCCACAGCCCAGTTTTATCAGGAGGTTTACCTTTACCCCCTTATGTTTTCTCGTATAATTTCCATGATCTTCTGTGTATTTAATGGTATATCATTTCATGGTTTGATGAACTGAAGTTTTGATTATAATGGCAGCTTTCAAGAGATGCCAGGGATAAGTTTGCTAGGGAGATATCTTTCCAATTGAAGGACAAAGATATATCACTAGCAAAGGTATTCTGCCTTTTTCATCTAGTTTAGGGGTAGTTGATCAGTTCAGTTTGGTCATGAGCATTTCATGAATAACAAAACTGCTCTTTTTTTTGAAACACTCTTTATTTCTTTTTTGACTCCATGTTTTCTTGTTATCAACTTGTTCAAGTTTGATCAGTCTGAGGTAGTTGACAATATAATCGGTTTATGTCATTTACATTGACTAATACCTCCGAAACCTTCTATCCAAACTGACCATTACGGTCTGTTTGGGTGGGTGGTTTTGGAGGGCTTCATCTGTATTTTGATATGTATTTTTGAATTTTTTTAGAAGTGAAAGATAAACCTCATATGTTTTCGAATAGCATTTCAATTGCCTTTTATCCGTCCTTTGGAACTATCTATCAATATATAGACTAAGTAAGCCCTCAAAAGCCTTTACCTTCAAACCTCTCCAAAACCCTCAATCCACACTAATCTTTCAAAGTCAGCATTTGGTTGATCATTTTTTTCATTATAAAGATTTATGTTGCTACTATGTTTTTTATACGGTATTTGACTGTTTCTGGTGCAACTGTGTAGGCTTTGCTTTATGTTGCTGCTGAAGACGAGTCATTCATAGCATTCAACCACGAGAAGGATGCCTTTTCTCTCCAAAGCGAAAGAAGAACCACTCTGTCTCCATCCGATGCTCCAGCTTGGACGGATGTGGAAGCTATGCCACTAGCTGGAAAAAGGATGAATGATTGGTTGGGAGAATTTGATGTTATTGCTAGTGAGGTTGAGGCAGAGCTAGTCTCCAGAGAGATAGGATGTGATTTGGTTGAGGTTTTGGATGCAGTGAACACTGTTGTTTTCAACTCGAGAGGGTTCAGAAGGTCACGTGCATTGGTAGATTCGAAGTGCTCATACTTGCACTCAGCGTTATCCTCCGGATCTTGTAGTGGTATATCTTATTCTTCCTGACATTCTTTTAAGCGTTTAATAGGAATTCTAGGGGTAAGGTCGCGTGCGCAACCCTCTCTAGATCCCTACTGAGACTGTTGTTGTGTAATAGGAATCTTGGATTACTTCCATCTAACTGAAATGATTAAATGGCCTTCGAAGTTTTCAAAAAGTGCAAATTAGTGCCTTGAACGCGCCTTTTAGCACTGAGAGATTGTGGTAGATATGATGATACTAATTAGTAATTGCCAACAAGGAAATTTATTAAAAATATCGAGGGTCACTGAAAATGTACTAGTCAAGGGGCTTACTTCTAGTTTTCAAAAATGCTGAGTGTCAATTGGTAATTTGACCAGAGCCGAGGTAGATGTGATTTACAGTATTTTCTAATTGTTGCATTTGATGCTTCTGATGCATGATTTACCTTGTGAACAGCAATTTTGTTTAGTGTTATTTACATCGAAGTTTGCCAAAGACTGAATCTGAAAATTGTGGGTTCCCGAGTTGGGGAAGATTTTCTTATATGGCCCCAAACAGCAAACCCTGAGGTATATATGTGCTTCTTTTGAACTCTGCCAACAATGCCCCAGATATTGTTTACCAAACTTTCTATTCTTGTCAAATTCAAGGAGCTATTCAAGTTAACTTCTGGGCACAGCTTGTTTGGTATTGTCAATGGAAAATGTGTGGAGGATCCTCGATCAAAGGCATCAGACATCAACAGCCATTCACTTTCTGGGCTTGAGATTGCGACGAACCGTGATATAATTGGGATTGCTTTGGCCAATTTGATTGTAAGCTTTAACGCCTGTAAAACCTCCAACCTCTCTAAGACCCTCCATCCAAACCAACCCTTATTATTGGCCAATTTGCATGCTTCTGCTTAAAGGGGTTTGTCATATTATTGCAGAGGCTTCACTGGAAACGTGCTTCAAGAGCAAATCACGGATTGATGCTTACTTCCCCACTTAGATCTGTTCACAGTCCTGATGATAAATTTAGCAATATTGATGCCTCAAATTTCCCTTTGTTGAGGCCTCAGGATTTGAGGTAATCATCTTTATTTGTCATCACTTTGTGCACAATTCTCCAGAATTGCTCCCCGTTCCTGATTAAATAGGCCTTGTGTTGTCCCTTACAGGTTCAAGATGCTAAGTTGCAACATTGGCATGAGAAAGGGAGAATTATGAATTTCGGACGCATAAGATTGTCTCAAGGATTTAAAAATTTATATATTAAAAAAAAAGAAGACATGCGTCACACTTTTAACGTGATCTTAAATAAATGCTAAGCATATGCGTGAAACGTGAATACTTTCCCCATCTTTATTCTCTACAACCTATCATTATCCCCATCTTTTTTTGCTATAACTATAAATTTTGAAACTTTAAATATGTTCAATACTTTTATTATTATTATTATTATTATTATTATAATATATATGAATTTGCTTATACTAATGCAGCTCATAAATTTGTTCCATTATCTGGCGATTCTTTCATTTTAGTGAAATGGTTGCTAACCCAACAACCACTATAAAGCCTCTTAAGAATAGTCATACCCTGCTTTTAAGTGTTCTTTTTTTAAAGCATGAAAAAATGGTTAAGTACACTGGGTTTATCATAGCCACATGCAGTATATCTTTATAATTTGACTATCCATATAGGCAAACAAATCTAAAGGATAGTCTTTTTTGTGGGCCATTGTGACCGAAATCTTGTTCAGAATGGTAAACACTACCATTCTTTGGGATTATTCTCATTTATCTTTTAATACAAGTCAACAAAAGACTGAAATTGTCCCTGCTCTTAGTGTATCCATAAGAAACTGCCTTATGCCAGAATGGCTTGTATGAAAAAATAATGATAGTAATGATGATGATGATGATGCCTAGAGATGGTTTAGTTTGAAAATGGCTTTTCTTACAATGGCATTCATTTCTAGGCTGGCAATAATGGCTTCAGAAAGATTGCTGATTCTGCAGCCACACAACTGGGCTCTGAGAAGAGACTATGGCATGATGATGTACTATGCCAGGTACATGGTTCATTCGTTTTCCATTTGTTCGTTCCCAAATTCGAATTTTAAAAAAAATGACAAAAAATAATCTTGGAAATGAAACGTGTCGCAGGGAATATGGGGAGGCCGTCCAGGAGCTTAGCATTTGCATGGCTGTTGCCCCAGAAGAGGAAGCACAAGTTCTGGAACCATTTGTTGAGAAGCTGCACCTGCTGCAGGTCGAATCTTCTTGGAAGTCGTTTGGGGCGTGCGTACAGACCGGTTAATTCTTAACACAACTCCCTTGAACATACATGTTCTTAATTGATGTTGTAATCATTGTTATTGTTATTGTTACTGGCTGGCTTTAACCATGCTTCTGTAAACCTATTATTGTACTCCATGCCATCAAGCCTTACCTTAACTTGTTTTAATTAGAGTCTTTCACTAGGGAGAAGAGAAAAAAAAACCTTTGTGTATATGTGTATTTCTCATCTCCTATCTTTCCATTTCTTATGTTCCATTTGAAGTGTGGTGCACCTATGTTTTGGTAAATTTGAAATGGTAACCTAATTTATGATGAAATAGGTTAATATGAGTGAATATGTTATGATACTGTTGAGATAATACTTTGCCTATTGAAATGGACTTTGCTGTTATTTCTTTTGGGTTGGAGTTACAACAACATCACTCCAGTACCTCTCCAGTACCTCAAAGGCTTGGACGTACGCAACTTAATCCTTATGTTTAAAACATAGACCGGCAGTTTCCAGACTAACTTCACTATTGAAAAACAATTGCAAACAGTTTAAAGAATTATTTTGTTTTATTAGATTATACCCCAAGTCAAAAGATAATGAATCTTTGGTTCAATGGGAGATGATGGAAAAGACACACGAGGAACATATATAGAAATGTCTCTAAACATGAGTAGAATATTGATATAGTATACAATTATATATATTACGTCCTCCATCCCCTAAGATCTTCTCATTCTGATTTTTTATAGTTTTTAAGAGAGTTGAAAAAAAGTAAAAGTTTACTATAATATCCTCAATGAAAATGATTGAAGTGTATTAAATGAGGTGGGTGAGGTGTACTAAATAAAGTAAGTTGAGATAGTTGTGTTATTTTAATTGTTACTCCCTCCGTCCCAAAATATTTGTCACACTTTCTTTTTTCATCCGTCCCAAAAAATTCACCACATTTCTAATAATGGAAAGTGAATTGTTGTGTTAAGACTATTATACCCCTGTCTTTTAAACTGTGCATTCAGAATCCTTATCCGGATTCCTTACATTCTCACCACACTCTTCGTCTTCTCCACCTGATCTCTCATCTTCAATCTTTGTCTTCTCCATAATCTCTTCTTCTCCGCCACATTCTCAAATTCCTCTCCGCCACAATCTTCGTCTTCTCCACTCCCTAATCTATGGGTAATTCAGATTCCTCATATCCCAATTTTAATTTGTTGATTGAGGAATCACTCTCGCGAGGTAGATTCCCCCAAATTGGTGGATCTGGACGAAGATTGAAGCGTCGCTATCCTACTCCTTCGACCTCTACTTCTGATACAGACCCAACCTGGAAGTATCGTAAGAAGTACGGGGATGTGGCGATGTTTGATGAATCAGATCTGGAATTTGAGAGCGAAGAAGGGGAATCCGAAGAGGTGACATCTGACTATGATCCTAGACTATGATCCTAGACAATTGGTCTGCATAGATTATGCTTTGATGGTGAACCCTCCACCAATACCCTTCGATCTGCCTCCCTGTGGTATGACCTCTCCTCAATTACTTAATTTTCGAATGGATTGTCTTTGCATATTATGGTAATTCACTCTCTTAACTAATGATGAAAGGGGGATTAAATTTCAACACTTTTTAGTGAGGCCATCACATCTCTGTGCCATTTGTGAAGTCAATTTATGTATTTGGTTGTCTACTGGTGTGGCCCGAGGTGTATAATGCCCAAATTTTGGAGTATTTGCCCTTGATGTGTGGTCTGTGATGAGTTGAAATGTCTACTAGTGATACATGACTATATTTAGTTATTTACCATTCTTATTATATTACTATTATTATTATTTATGGTTAGATAATTTCATTATTGTTAGGAAGTATTATTATATTAGGTTATTAGTATTTTAATTTATTTAGTTATCTTTTATGGCTAGGACTCTTTAGATCAACCATCTATATATGTAGCCATTATGCATGAGTTTATTATTGAATCAATAAAGAACAATCATTTTCCTAACCCTAAACTCCCTCTCTCCTCCTTGCCGATCAACGGCCATCTCCCTCTCCCTTCTCAATCTCTTCCTTTTCCCTCAATTCTATAGCTCGAAGGTGCTCAACCTTCTCTATCCCGATACGATACCGTATCAACTAGTCTTGCCATTCATTCCTTATGTGAAATGTTACCTAGTGTGACTGCTTTGTGGTCTGTGATGACTTTAAAATCTGCGACCTATGTGTTGCCATTCATTCCTAATGTGAAATGCTGCCCAGTATGTGATGTCTAATGTTTGTTGCCCACTGTGAGTACTCTGTGGTCTGTGATGACTTCAAAATCTGAGACCAATGTCTTGCCATTCATTCCTAATGTCAATGGCTGCCCAATATGTGATCCCTAAGTGTTTGTTGCCCACTGTGAGTACTCTGTGGTCTGTGATGACTTCAAAATCTGAGACCAATGTCTTGCCATTCATTCCTAATGTCAATGGCTGCCCAATATGTGATCCCTAAGTGTTTGTTGCCCACTGTGAGTACTATGTGATCTGTGATGACTTCAAAATCTGAGACCAATGTCTTGCCATTCATTCCTAATATCAATGGCTGCCCAGTATGTGATCCCTAAGTGTGTGTTGCCCACTGTGCCTGCTCTGTGGTCTGTGATGACTTTAAAATCTGAGACCAACATGTGTTGCCATTCATTCCTTATGTGAAATGCTGGCCAGTATGTGATCCCTAATGTTTGTTGCCTAGTGTGCCTGCTCTATGGTCTGTGATGACTTTAAAATCTGAGACCAAAATGCATTCAAAATATACTTATACATTCATAGAATACATAATTCAGGAGCACTTACAAAACTTGTCCCCTACAAAAAGCAAAAAAAAGTACCCTCTGTACTAAATACAAGTCAGCTTGAACTCCACAGTTCATTAGGACAAGTCCCTCCAAAAAGCAAAAATTAAAACAAAGAACTTAGATTGTAATTCTAAGTCAGTTGTTACCAGGCCCCTGTTCTGCTAAGAAGTTCCTGGCTGCCTCCACCACTTCCATACTGACTTGAATATTCTCAGGTAACTCATCCATCCTCTCTAGTCTGTCTTTCCCAATGTGTGGTATCTTGTAGTTGTTTCCTCTTTTTTGCACTAGAATCTGTTCCATCACACATTGTAAGGTCAAGAAGACCTTATTCAATTTTTGAGGGGTTAACTCCTCAAATGCAGTCTGCACTGCATTGATCAGTTCATTTATTTGCGTTTCTTTTGAGTATCAGATAGTCTATGGCTCGTGTTGTTCTCCTGCTGTTCCTCTTCATTTTCGTGCATAGGTTCTTCGGGCTGCTCGGTATGCACTCCACGAGAAGTTGATCTGTTTGTCAGAGGTGTCGGTGGGGAAACAACCTCGGCTAAATGTCTCATATCGCTGAATGACGCAGTAGCTCGAATGCTAAGGGTGGGAACATCGGCGTCAAAAGATGGATCGTCTCCACATGAAGCCGGCGTCGGATCTTCGTTGAGATCGAACTTATGGGCAGTCGGGGGCAGATTGAGGTCAAACACATGAAGTATGGATAAAGATGGATTTGAAGATATGTAATCCATTTTGGGTTAGAATTAAATACCCTTCTTCAATGCACACAACTCATTTATATGGGCATTGAAGAGGGTGTACTTAGGGAAAAATTGGGGGGAAACAATGTTAAATTTTGGCTCTTTTCCCTCTTTATTTTTAAACGAAATTATGTGTGGTGTATATGGTGATGATGTGTAAAAATTGTGGCCTAGTTGTAAAATAATGACATTGATGTGATATTTACTTTAATTAAGTACTCCCTTTCTCTCTCCTTTTTTGTTTGTACAGGTTTTGCTTTGGGACGGGTGGGTGGGGGTAAAGTTAGAAAAAAATTGCTTTTTGTCCACTACCTAAAATTGTGTGGAAGTCAAAGTGTGGTGAATAAATAGGGACGGAGAGAGTAAAAAACGTAATGAGAAAATCTATGGTAGATAAATAAAAAGGATTAATGGGAAGATCTATGAGAAACGGAGGAAGTATTATGTACATCATAGAATCTAACTCTTTTTTATAACATAATGAGAATTACGATGTAAACAACGATAATTAATTCTTGTTACTGATGACAAGTGATGTAACATTGTCAGGGGCACACATTTTCATCCGAGTCCGGCAATGGATTAACAAAATGTTAATTTTCAAATATAATGTTTATTTTAAATTCTGATCAACATAGTATTAAATCTAAAATAATGTAGTATTTATTTTAAAACAACAAATTATTCATTCAAAAACATGTTTTTTAATTATAAATTGGACATAAAGATAAAAGTAAATTTACCTCTACTATAGAATTTGACCAATACTCTCCATTAACCCGTCTTTAATTACTCCTTTACCCCCGGTCCAAACACGCATTTACCTTTTTTACTCCCATTAATTAGAAAAATGTTAGGAATACACCAAAGATGTACTCCATTTGTCCCCCACCCCTTCCATTACCACAAAACTGGGTAAGAAATTAAAACAAAATTAAATAAATAAAAATGGAGTTAAAATGAGTGGTAGAGAATGGGCTCCATTAATTAACGTGCTTTACCTGCTTCTCATTCCCGTAGATTTTCGTCCATCTCACATGGGCTGCGCTTCCGCTGCTTTCTCCGCCGGCATTTACCGTCCACCTAAAACCCCGACCTCTTCCGCCGCCAACGTTTCCCCGTATCTCTTTCCCGCCACTTTGAACAGCTTTCACCGGCCGCGAAGAACCTATCTTCCCTCCTTGTTTATCCGGAGCTCTGGCCGCACACGTCTTCCGCCGTTCGCAGCCTCCACTGACAACAGCGGGGGAAATAATAACGACGGAGGAGGCGGAAATGGAGGCGGCACAGGCGGAGGCGGTAATTGGTGGAACGATTTCTTCAATTTTGATAAGATGCATTTCCTTCTCCCGTGTTGTTGTGTCTTCGCAAATGAAAGTGATGCTTTTGCGTCTATCACTTCATGTAAGCCATTAATACTATTACTGGTTTCCGTATCGTCTTCCATCACCTGTTGCTTGGTATTAGCTTCCCTGGTACAAGCTCAGACTAACGGTGAAGAGACTGGTACCGAGGTTTTGTCTGAAATTCGGGGCGGAAGGAGGGTTGAACTCGTAGCAGATTACTCTAAAGATGAATTCATTATTCGAAATAGAGCATTTCCTTGGCTTCAGTCAGGCTCGAATTTAAAATCTCCATCTTTTAGGGATTTTACCATTGATTTTTGGATGCGCTGTAGGAACCTAGCCATGAATTTGATGTTGCCAGAGGGATATCCTGAGAGTGTAACCAGTGATTACTTGGAATACTCTCTTTGGAGAGGGGTTCAAGGCGTTGCTGCTCAGATTAGCGGCGTTTTGGCCACACAGGTAGGCTTGTTTCTATTAGTTATTGTCATTAGTTTTCTTTGTCGAACACAGAATCTGGAAACATGTCTTGTTATTTAGCTCCATATCTAGAAATAGCAATGCTTTTGGTAGGAATGATCATTGAACAACATGCAAGAAGCATAAACAAGCACAGATCAATTTTTAATGCGTGTCGTGGAAAAATAGCATCACAAATTGTTTTCAAGATAGACAATGCCTTCATTCTGGCTAATTGAGAACCTTATATAAGTAAACATCAATCAGTTCTGAATGTTTTTGTGATGATTTGGTTTTGGAAATTATTGATGTTTGAAAGGTTAATGTTGAGACTTTTTTGGGGGTATGATAGGCTTTGCTTTATGCTGTCGGATTGGGGAAAGGAGCCATTCCTACTGCTGCAGCTGTAAGTTGGGTGCTCAAGGATGGAATTGGATATCTTAGCAAGATTCTATTGTCAAATTATGGCAGAAATTTTGATGTCAATCCTAAAGGTTGGAGGTTGTTTGCTGACCTCATAGAGAATGCTGCTTTTGGACTGGAGATTCTGACTCCAGCGTTCCCCCATCTATTTGTTCCTATTGGTGCTGTTGCTGGAGCAGGGCGATCAGCTTCTGCGCTCATACAGGTAAGTTGTAGAACATATGAGCTCTATTTTGTGAATACCATCATCTAAAAACTACTCCATATTTGCTAAGTTTCGACTTGTGAATCTCCCTGGTGTGGTATACCATAATCCTCGGGGCTTTTAGAAAACATTGCCAAATGCTTTATTTTTCTTGATTGTGTCTGAGTTCATCCATGCTTAAGGCTTATGTAAGGCTGTAGGATTGGATTGGTTATAAACAGTAATGGACGATGCCAAAGATTGTTTTTGAGCATAGAGATGCAATCGAGTGAACATTTATATATTTTGTGATTAAAATACAGGAAGCAAAATTCCTGCAGGTATTTTATACAGATCATGTACCAATATGGTGATAATGTAATGCATTGTGTACCCTGCCTAAATCCTACTACAAAGGAATCCCCATAACTTGCAGTAGTGCTAAATATTTCATTGTATTTCCATTACAAGTGAACTTCTCTGCATATACCATACATTCCACTGAATGGAATTCTCCCTTGAGCACTGCAAGACTGCAAGTTTTCTTTGATAGTGAACTTGGTTATTTTTGGTGATAGGCTGCTACAAGAAGTTGTTTCTGTGCTGGCTTCGCTGCTCAGAGGAACTTTGCTGAGGTGATTCCTCTACTTTCTTACTATTCATCCTTGTCTCACAATTAGAAGGTGATGGTGGTCCTTGTTAAGAGGAATTTTACTATTCATGTGAAGCATTTAATATTTTCTATATATTTTCCATGATTTAAGAACTTAAGTGTATGTACGCCTGTGTTGATGATTAATTAGGGTAATATTGGTAGAGCAGACCACTCTAGGTTACTCTGTTTGGTAGGAATGTTGATGATTAATTAGGGTAATATTGGTAGAGCAGACCACTCTAGGTTACTCTGTTTGGTAGGAAGGAATCTTTCCAAATAACCTAAGCAAATGTTCAAACTTGATTGTGGGTGGAGATCTGACTGCCCAAATCTCAATCGTGATATTTTTGGAGTACACGTGGAAAACAAAGCAATGTGACGGGTACGCGAGCCAATCAGAAGTCAGCACACAAGGGGAGAGAAGGGATTTCACGACATTGAGGAATAACAACACAAGATGTGTGAGTAGGGTGACAACGGGTTGGGTTCAATTTGGGTTTTAGTATATCTAAACCCAACCCGACTTAGTCCAGGTTTAATTTTGGCAGGTTGGGTTCAAATTTTTTTGTTCGGATTTGGATTCTTTAAGGTTCAGTGGGCTCGGGTTGGATTGTCATCTATATTCAATATAAAAAATCTCAATATTTTTATTGCTCCTTTGAAAATATTTGTCAAGTTACTCCTGATTTATCAAATGTGCTCCGAATTCTTAATGTCCAAGAAGTATGAGTTCATTTCAGAGGTGTTTTCATCCACCCTTAGCACTATTGTGAAGATCAGTCTCTTATCACTCCTAGGAACATAATTGTGCGTGAATTGGTATTGCACCCACTTGCTTGGATTTGATTTTGTATAGAATAATAACTTTAGTGAGGTGTGTTTTAATGGTATCCAGACATTTCACTAATGACACTTTTTTATAAGCTTTTGCTCGTAGTTCCATACTTCTATTTTACACTAAAAAATTACTATGCACACAGTCGGGTTGGGTTTGGGCCGGTAAACTCTATGATCCAAACCTAACCCGATTTAGTTCAGGCTCAAGTTCCATTTTCTCGATTCGGGTTTGGATAATTTTTTCTCAATTTGGGCTAGATATTTTAAGCTTTGATCGGGTCGGTTAAGGTCGGTGTGCCATCCCTATGCATGAGATGTAGCACGTTGAATGAGAATGGGGTTGGGGGCCACACGTCAATGTCAAACTTTGGTTTCACCTAGAGGAGTGAGTAGGGAAATAAACTTCCGTCCAAAGCAAACAAAATTCATTTTTCCCTCTTTGAGAGAATATTTTTCCTTAAAAATTATTTCATACCACTTATGTTGCCAAGTGTTGGAAATTAGAATTGAAATTTTCTAGAGAAATATTCCCCCAATCTAACAGACCCTTAATCTATAAACTAATTTGGTGTAAAGTTCCTGTCTAACGATTGTAATCATTGTCTGTCAGTTGATTGTTTTCAAATGTTTGTTGTTTTGTGACACAATGCATTAAAATGAACATGCCTTTTTTCTAAAGTTTCCATAATGCTAGGTAATTGCTAAGGGAGAAGCACAAGGAATGGTGAGCAAAGGCATCGGAATTATGCTAGGAATAGCACTTGCTAACTATACACGCTCTTCTACGCCTCTATTACTCACATCTTTTGGCATGATTACTTGGATTCACATGTTCTGTAACCTGAAGTCATATCAAGCCATTCAGCTAAGGAATTTAAATCCTTACCGAGCGAGTACATTAATTTCGTTCTCTTTCTTTTCACCTCTTATTTTAGAGTTAATGCCCAATTTGATCCCTCCAGTATACAACATTTTGCAGTTTGGTCCCTGGTTTTCTTTTGTACTCAATTTGTTCCTCGACTATGCATCTTAGACTCAATTTAATTATGTTGCATATTTTACTGTAATTAAGAAGAGTATTTCAATACATTGATGACTAGGTTGAGTCCAAATTGCATAGGTGAGGGTCACATTAAGTCCGAACTTGCATAAAAACTTGGTGATCATGCTAAACACCTTATTCAGAACAAATGTGTATCACAGATTGCTACTAAATCAGGTCCATTTATCATAGTTGAGGACCAAATTGAATCCAATAAAAAATGAGACCAATTTGAGTGATAATAGTCAAGGGACTTAATCAGGTATTAACCCTTTATTTTATTGCACTTGATGTTGCATCTGCCATTAGTAGCATAAAGACATGAAAACATATCCAACAAATGACAATGGAGTTGGGTCATGATGACTTTCAAGTTTCAACGGATGATCACAATACAATGGTGTGGGTAGTATTGTTTAACTCTAAACAGTGTCCTTGTGTTGTTGCTTTTGATCCTTGAGCTTGGTCAAAGATAATTTTTTATTAAATTTGGACACTCGGCTAGTTTCACAAGAAGTACAATGTCCTTCCACAATCGAGGAAAATAAGTCAAGCTGTTAGTATTTAACTTGAACCTACCAAAGGTGATGGCTCCATGGAGCCGGGGTTGGAGAGGGAGAGAGAGAGAGAGTGTGTGTGTATAAATCTGTGCCATTTGGAACTTTTTTTTGAAGGTGCTTAGGCTGTCTCAACTTTTACCTAAACTTGGATGCATAAGGGGGAATGGATGAATTGTATAGTGTAGGACGGGAGAGAATTATGCGGAGTATTATTTCTGTTTATTTTCACTCACATAAGTATACATTTTACTCTTTAATGGCCACTCTCTTAGTAAATCATTTGTTCCTAGCCCCTACAACATGATTCTTTCTTTTCCTTTTTTCCCCAACCAATCATCAAGCCACACATTCATATTTATATATCTTTTGACTGAAAATGGAAGGCTCGATGAAGCTATGTTATTTATTTTGGGGTTCATAAAAGTACCTTATGTGGTATCTCAGGTTTACTTTTCAGCGAATACCTGCTTAGTGGCTCAGTTCCTTCAATTAAGGAGGTAAACGGCGAGGAGCCACTTTTTCCAGCTGTTCCACTTTTACATTTGAAGTCAGCAGACAAAGTGCGTTACAGATTTGTTTATTCACTTGTTTTTTCAGTTGGTTGGTTATTTAATCTCTTAGAGAGGTTGGCTTTGAATTATCTGATTGTAGTTTACTATAATATGGCTGTTAGGTGCAAAGTGAGGTTCTCTCCACAGAAGCTAAGAAAGCTGCTGCTCACATTGTGGGCAGGTTACAGCTGGGTTCTAAACTATCCGATATCGCTTCAAATAAGGAAGACGTAATTGCTATGTTTGACCTCTTCAAAAATGAGCAGTATATACTGGCAGAACATGAGGGCAGATTCTGTGTAAGAAAACTTTATCAGTTTATCCTCTCTATTCTTTCTTCTACGGAGTAGTATTTTCGTTCTTTCTTGTTGTCCTATATATGTGGTGATATGCTATGTGTTTCTTGTCTTGTTTATGCTTTCTGTGTTGCTTGAGCCATGGATCTCTTGAAAATAGCCTCTCTACTTTCAACTAGGGGTAAAGTCTACACACCTCTGTTTTATGTTAAAGTTGTGCTTCTGTGGTCCTAATGTTCACGTGAAAAATGTACACCTTCTTACACTTTTTTTGGGCTTACAAGTAGATCTTTTCTTTTTGTAAAAGCCCAATTCTTTTATGTTGTTTATGTGCTAAGGTCCATAAAATGAGCGTTGACTTAAGGTCCACAGAAGAATTTGCCTTTATTTTCCATTATAACTTCCATTATAACTGTGCCATCCTCCTATCACGTATGCAATCTGTTTAAATTAATATGTTTTGGAATGGAGCAGGTTGTACTCAAAGAGAACTCTTCACAACAAGACATGCTGAAGTCGCTGTTTCATGTCAACTACCTGTACTGGTTGGAGAGAAACGCGGGGATTGTATCAAGTGGGGTCCGCAGCGACTGTAGACCCGGGGGTAGACTCCAAATGTCTTTACAATACGTTGAGAGGGAATTCGAACACGTCAAGAATGATAGCGAAGTAGTAGGCTGGGTGGCTGATGGTCTTATTGCTAGGCCTTTACCCAACAGAATCTGCCCGGGTTATCCAACCGCATTTCCCGTTGGTTCCGGTTGATTCATCTATATGCGGTTGTTGTCTTAGCTATCTCATGCGCGGATGTGGATGCCAAATTTTCAGTTCAGATGAAGAATCAGTTCCGGTAGAGCGTTAACCTTTTCCATGGTCAGGGGTAAGTATATGTTGTTTTTTTTGCTCAAAAGAAATCTATCAAACTATAAATAATTAAAAGAATGTTATGAGTAACATGTTTAAGAATAGCATTAAAACTTTAAAAATATACAGTATTATTGAACTCTGTTTAGAAATATAAAGAATGTTTTGAGTAACTTGTTTTTGTTCTTTAATATCTTTGAAAAATAAAAAAAAAATGTAAACCTTACTCTTGGATATTAAGAAATATGTATTTTTTTTGTACTGAGTAAACATAAATATAAAACAAATTATTAAAATTATTAGTTTAATTAGTACAGCTTTTCAAGCTTGTATTATCAAGGAGAATAATACTATATCAAATGAAAGGAAAACGAGCAACAAGCCGCGTCACTAGTCCTTTTCAAATAGCAAAATTAAACCTTTTGGAAATTAGTCAAATTACATTCATAGTTCTATGAGTAGTGACGTAACAATACATGGCTCGTAATACACATATAGGATTAAAGCAAAAACTAACTCACTCTGCAGCTTTCCAAATTTTGGAAGAAAATGCATCGAATTAATAGCATTGGTTGTTCTCTTCTCTGCCAAACCATTAATAAACCATACTTTCCTTTATGTGCATTACCAAACTTTTCTTGATGCATGAAAAAGATTGTAATTATCTCAAATTCACTTCACAAGAGGGTGCAAAACAAAGTCGAAAGGTGATCTCAGAACCCTTTAAGATTGTTCCAACCAAACTTTTCTTGATGCATGAAGAAGATTGTAATTGTCTCAAATTAAGGAGAGTAAGAATCGTTAACTTTTCAAACGAGACATCGTGGGAGCCAATGTCATCCTATGACATTGGGTCTCAGTATCAGATGAATCGTGTTGTATCTTGATAGTTGATATTGAGAATTTTTTTTTTGATAAAATCATAAACATCTTTATTTTCCTTAAGAAGTGTATACGACCTTATTTTTATTAGGGGTGGGCAAGAATCCCGTAACCGTTGTCCTTACTCGAAATATCTCGGTCCGTCTCTATAATGTCCCGTTTTGTTAGGGATGGTAAAATTTTATCCCAAACTCGTTCTGAACCATTTTAAAATAAGACAGGATCGGGACACATAAATATTCTCCCGTTCTGTCTGTTGTCTCATATATATCTATATACCTATTTATTTATTTACATAATGATTAATATAGATCTAAAAAATATCCAGATTCAAATATTATTTAAAAAAATAGACTAGGACTAAAACATCTAAAAATTCATACTGTCTAACTCGATCCATCCTAATTTGTGACTCATAGCTTTTATTAAGTGTACAATCTTTATTTTTGTCTATGTTGTAACATTTTTTCATATTTCCTTATTACTCCCTCCGTCCTAAAACTTTCTTCCCAGAGCACTATTCCAACTTCACGTGAATTTATATTTATTTGTGTTTTTTCATGTCCTATATGATAAAATAAAATATTCTTGTCACCACTTGTTTTGTTGAACTTTTGATGTAGTTTTTAAATATGTAAGTTTTATTTTTTATTTCTATACCAATATTTAAATAAAATAGATTGAAAAAACTTGGGATTTTTCTTCGTTTTGCGCAACGGGAAGAAAGTTTTAGGACGGAGCAAAGGTCGTCCCCATGCTCGACATCATCAATGGGATGGCAGGAGTGCTTTCACTCGCAGCCTGACTTGACACAGCGTTGTAGTTGCTCGAAGACATGATTGTGGATATTTAGTGGGGGTAAAGTTTTGACCTGGTCGAAAAAACCTTTAAAAATCGGCCCCACGGGTGGCGCCAAAAATGATGGTGTAAATATAGCGGGGTGGGTTAACCGGGTTTGACCTGGACACACTCGACCCGTAATATAAAACACACAACAAGAACACAAAGTATGACCTAGACCGGGTAAATCTCCTCAGTCCGAATTATATTTCTTACTCTATCTCAAGAGTGAACTTTAGTGAGAGAAAAATTGGATCCCCTCCCCTATCCAATATCATCATATTTATAGAGGAGGATTTGTGACCTTCCCCTGTTCATCCATGGACAAAATAGGAAGCTCGTGGGAAGGTCACTGTAGATAATGGGAACACTGTACAATCATGGACTTGCCACCAATACAACCAAAAAGCACTGTTCAATCAAAGACTAAAATGGATATTCTCAATCCAATCAACCCTGCAAAATGACAAACATCCCTTTCACTGTATGCCTCGTGATGGATGAGCGGCGGGGTGTTCCCTTGACCTCTGACGTGGTTCCTCATGCCTAAGAGACTGAACCAATGTTAGCCAAGTA